TCTCTTTCAAACCCAGATAGTTACACAGCTGCACAAGCAGGCGGAGAGGATTGTGGGTCTGACTGGGTCTGACATGAATAGGCAAATGAGAACTGGGGGAAGCAGCCATAAGAAATGTAGCAGTGGGGCAAAAATATGAGGACTGGTTTCAGTAGTATGGAGCAACTATGAATTAAGGGGATGAAGAATGAGGTAGTTGACGGGGATGATTATAAAACAGAGGGTTAATATGGACCGTGCATGGAAGATGTGCATAAGCACATAAATTTGGGGTGGGAGGTGAGCGGCAACCTGTAACTGAAAAAAGAGAACATCAGAAGACATAAGTGGACCTAAGAGAACTCACAAAGCATTATGGGATTGACTGAAAGTTGCACCAATAATTATTTCCCAACCTTAGTTCTTCTACTTATGTTAATTTTCATTTCCCATTCCTGAATTCTGGAGAGTTGACTGGGGGCTTCTGGGTGTTGACGTCCAACACTTCTGTAGGTTGGGAAAGACTGAGCTCGATTTAACAAGAGCCATGACAGTGTCAGGAATGATTATGGGACATGTGAAGAATTCTGAGATAGGTGGATGCTTGAATTGGCCTGAGAGGAAGATTGTGGGACTGACACGGCCCCTTCTTTTTCAGGACTGCCTGGACTATGTTTATCTCCGCCTACTGGCATGGACTGTGCCCTGGGTATCACCTCAGTTTTCTTACCATCCCATTCTGCCTAGTAGCTGAGGAGGCCATGGAGAGTGGGGTCTTGCGGCACCTCTCCCTGTCTGGCCGTGTTTTTGGTGACTGGATACACTGGTTCCTGAAGATGATGGCTTATGACTACCTGTGTGTGGGTTTTCACTTGCGCACCTTTGAGGGTACTATTCGCTACTGGCGCTCAGTGTATTATTGTGTCCATGTGGGGGCAGTGGGTTTCTTTGTGGTTGGGAAAGTATTGGGGTCCCAGAGGAATAGGGGCTCCCTGAAGGGCAAAGGTGGAACTCCGGAGAACCGCCAGAGGCAGGAATGAGAAGATGGTGGTCTGTTGTCTTA